GTCTATATGCTGCCCATCTCCCCCAGAGGGCGACCCTGGGCATGTCCTTATTTATTACGTTTGTCTGTTTTATTGATCGGTAATTCTGTTGAAAGCCCTTTGCAGGGTGGTAACTAAGATAGAGGGCAAGGGGGTGGGTTTCCCAGTGGCTAAACCCCCCCAATGGACAGATGATTCAGGAGGGCCGCTGCTAAGGTCCCCTTCAGCTTTTCCAACTTTGGGGGGACACACAAAACTGCCTTCTGCTGAGTCAGGCTTGCCCCAGCCCACCCTGCGGCCAAGCAGGGCTCTGTCCCAAGGCCTGGGCTAGGCATGTTCCACCCCAGGGGCTGCTGAGCCCCTCCTTTTGGGGGTAACCATCTGCAGGACTCGCTGCTTGATTGCTGACCATGGCTGGTGTCTTCTCCACCCGCTCACCAGCGTGGCACTTTCTTCGTGCCCTTTTACAAGCCCCAACAAAACTGGCGCTTGGCCGCAGCGGGCCCTGCTGTGGCTCAGCCCCCACCCCCTGCACAGGCCACATTCTTCCCTCGCTGTCGTAATGACATTCAGGAGCTCGTTGCCCAACCCTGTTTCCCAGGTAGAAACCAAACAAACTGGGTGAGTCCTGGAAGGAAACCAGGCTGGGGAGCCGCCCCCGCAGAAGCGATCCTGCGCCTCGTTTTCAGTGGCACGTAGATGCGTCTGAACGCACCCCGGGTGACCTGCTGCAAACGTTCCAGGTTTGTTTTCCAGAAGCTGGTCGTATTGTAAAACCTGCTGCTAATTTCTGACTTGAGTCACTGTCTGCGACCTGAATCAGAGGCCTCCCGTAGTGCCAGGCCTCCCAGCACATCAGCTGGGAAGGAGAGGCGCCTCTGCCTATGGAATTGCCCCGGGCCTTTGCAGCTCTCCCTGAAACTTTCCTAAAATTCCCTCATTCCTCCTCCCTGTTTCCCAGGGAGGGACTCGTTTGTCTTATTTAGATGTCTACTGGATGGAATCTCGTCTGCGTGGGAGACAAGCAGAGATGGCGCCGAGGAACCATCTTCAGGCCACGGGAGGTTCCTGAAGAATCCAGCTGGATTTTGGGGGCGGCAAAACGCTCGTGGCCTGATCCAGCTTCAGGTTTCTTCCAGAGCTCTCCATGCCAGGGTTCAGGACCCTCAATTGTAGCATTGAGATTTTCAGCCCTGAGGATGCACCTGTGCTCTACCTTGCTACCTTAAGAAACGTAGTTAATCCAAACCATGGATTAACACCTTGGCGTTACGGCCTGACTCAGAGAAGGTGAGTAAACTGGAGAAGCAAGGCCCTTTCCAAACCAGCCTCAGCAAAGGTGTCTCACATCCTCTTCTGCTCCGTGACCAACAGCACGGCATATCCTGGCCGGGGGAACAAAGCCTGTTTCGGCACCTACCAACCAGCTGTGCCAGCTGTTACTTGCGAGTCACGTCCGCCAGAACCTGGAGACACTCAACGGGGAGGAGAGGCAGTTTTGAGAAGAGCCAGTGACTGGTTTTCACCAGCAGCATCCCCACAGGGCTAAACTGATGTGGCTGCTGAGCCCCGAGGTGGCGAGCAGAGAAGCCCCACGTTCTCTTGGCTTCCATCTTTTCCCCAAGCCCGTCTCCCTCCATGTATGAAGGAATACAGCACCCAGCATGCCCAGCCAAGGGAAGGCACCAGGCTTGGAAAGATTAAATCTAGTTAATCCCCGACTCTGAATTGCTGAGAAGTTACACCCTTTGGTGCCCTTCACACCAGCTGGCCCCTGGCATAGCCAGCGAGACAGAAGTGCCACGCCGTCTGGCCCTTCTCATTCCTCAGTCTCCAAAACTGGCATATTCCTGCAGCAAAATCAGATTACTTGCCTAATTGATGCTGAGTATGCGATCTGAATGTTGTGCATCGCAGAAACTTTTAATGCATGGATGTTCAGAACATACATAGAGGCTGGCGTTGGAGCAAAATGGTTTCTCTTAGCCAAGCTTAATTCAAGCGTCTCAAAGTTGTCCCCTTCAGCTAAGTTTTCAGCCAAAGCATATTGTGGACCTAAATCCTATATTAATTGGTCAGACCTGTACCACTGGCTTTGGTCTATTCAACGCTAGAAAAGGCCCCATTTTCGATCTCTAACTATGCACCTTTTGCCCCACTGAGCAGAAATGCCACGTGTTCTCACTCCTTTGGGGGAAATGGTCAGCCAGGGGCCTGACGGGGGCGGAGGGTGGTGCAATGCACAGAAAAATGGGGCAGGGCTTCAATCCCACCATTTTGACTTTTTTGCCCCCCTCCCAGCTTCTGGATAGCCCCTGCTGTTGGCTATAGATAATGAACGAAATGAGCAGCTTCAGTAAGTTAAGTGAAAGGTTTGGAGAAAACCCGTTCAGGTGGTCGTGGGGTGCAGGAAAATAGGCTGCAGAGATTGATTGGGGAGGGGGTCTGTCAGGGACGCCAGAAGAGAGGACAATATGGCAGAAAGGGGGGAGGGAGGCAGAAATGGCCACTGTTTGGAGACAAAGCAAGTAATGGGGGTGCCAACAGAGCCCAACTGACCCCCAGATGTTCCGGGAGGCTGCTGAAGGCCAGAAGTCACGCAATCCGACGTGCCAATTCTGCGGATGGAAGGGAGGAGCTTGGGAACAAAGCGGGGAACCTTGCCAGGACCCAGTCCAAACCGGGATCCCCTGGACCCACCACCAGCGACAGCCACCGCCTCCCCTTAAGTATTCATCTCCATCTCGCAGATCCAGCCGTAGTCGCGGGTGCAGTGGTCGTCGTTCCAGCAGCCGTCGCGGTGAAGGTGGGCGCAGTCCTCCCCACCCCCGAGGCCGTGGCCGTACCAGTCGTCCGGCTGATCGGCGCACCAGTACCTGAGTCAAAAAGACGGGATTGGTTCCTTGGGTGTATTTGTGCCTTCAAGCAGAATAAAACCAGCGCCCCCCCGGAAAAAAAGCCATCCCGGTTCACAGAGGGGAATCCACAGATCACGTTCCATGGAGAATCAGAATTTGGGGGGGGAGCAGCACCACAGGGTTAGATCCTGGCCCCCGCCCTCTTCCATATTTTTACTAACAACTCAGATGAAAAGCCGGAGCAAGCATGCCTCAAATCTGCAGATGGCCCAAACTGAATGGCAGGGTTGCTAACGACCGAGGCAAGAGAAATAAAATTCAAAGCAGTCTGGACCGGTTCTAGAAATTAAACCATAAAATGAAATGTAGCAAAGGAAAAATGCAAAGTTCTCCATTGGGGAACCAAACCAAATGCCCAGAGAGACACAGAGGATGCCTGCCCCAGAAATACTGTAATTTTTGTGGAAAAGACGCTGGCACTTGAGTTGGTTGCAAAATAAATATAAATTTGTGGTGCAACCTGGCTGAAAAAAAGGCCAAGGCCACTTCGGACTACATGAACAGACGGGTGTCCGCAAGGTGTGGTCAACAGAGTCAAGATGGTGGCACCAGGGGATGGCCGAAGCTCAGAGGAGTCAACTTGACTTTTTTGACCAGACCCTGCAGACCCCCCTGTCAGTAGAAATCTATTTTAAAAGCCCCAAAAGCATTTGTTCTCCTCAATTGTGCACTTGCCAGACCTGAACCCAGATCGAGCATCCCGTTTTTAGAAAAATTCAGGGAAACTGGATCTGGTGGCTCGAAGCGCCCACAGGAATGGTCTGGGGAGGGCAAATATTTAAGTCCTATAAAGGGCGACTGAAGGAGCTGAAGTTTCTTTAGCTTTGGAGAGAGAAGAGCTGGGTGGGGAGAGGCACAGAGTAACCCTCTTGAAATCTCTGAAGGGAGGCCACGCAGGAGAAAAGGCCAATTCCATCTCTTTCACCAAGAATGCAAGACTGAAACGGGACCTTCTCCTAAGAGGAAAGAGCAGCTGGACCCAGAGCCGTGTTTCTCAACCTCGTCCGCTTGAAGATGGGTGGGCTTCAACTCCCAGAATTCCCCCGCCTGCCCTAAGCTGGCGGTTGGAGTAGATGGCCTCAAGAGTTCCGCCCAAGGGCTTCCCCAAGGCTGCTAGCCAAAGGCATTCTGGGGGAATCCCCCCCAGTGAACTTACTGTTGCTGAATGGCGTAGGGCGACCCGTCCACCCACTTCCAGCTGCCACTGGAGTCCGTCAGCCCGATCCACATGTACTGAGGCCTCACGCGCACCGCCACGAATTGCTGCCATGAGAAAGGGGAAGAGTAGCTTCAGGGCATCCCAACCTCTCGGTCTACCCGGGTAGGAATGCCCCTCCCAGCGTATGGTAGAGTTGGAAGGAATATCTAGCCCAGTGTTTCTCAACCTCGGGCACTTTAAGATGTGTGGACTTCAACTCCCAGAATTCCCCCGCCTGCCCCAAGCTGGCGGCTCGGGGAAGAGG